TATAGTGTGTGTGTGTGTGTGTGTGTGTGTGTGTGTGTGTGTGTGTGTGTGTGTGTGTGTGTGAGTGTGTGTGTGTGGAGGGGGGGGGGGCACCAAACCACGATGCAAGTATCTAGAAAATAAAAGTAGCAATTTATCTTGTGTTGCCTGGACCTTGACCTGAACCCTGATCTTGTGCATGTCTGCATTGTCCATGTCTCGTCTCGTCTTGTAATCAAAAGAGGTATTTTTTAAAAAAGAAAAAAAGGATACTGGGTTTAGCCCATCTTAACAGTTAAGCGACTTTTTAAAAATTCTTTTCATTCAACAAACAAACAAACAAAAATCAATGAATAAATAAACGAAAAAAAATATAAACCAATCCACTAATTCCAGATAAGACAAAAATTTAGCTAAGGTACACTGGGCCGCATGTCCTACAAAGCAGGAATAGCCTGATTAAAAAACAAATTGGTTTTTTTTTGGTCCTACATACGTGTCGCACAACGTGTCTGTAAGTAGGTCTGACAATACTGTGACATTTCCTGTTATCAGGGTACAAACTATAGTAACAAGGTCAACGAACGTAACATGGACATGATAAATACATTTTCATTAAAAAAAAATTATATAAAAATTGTTTATGTGCTTTCAAACCATGTGTCTTTGTGAATTCTTTTTTATTTTAAGGTGTTGATTACACATACGATATATATATTTTTTTAAATTTTCAAATTGTAACATTATTTTTAGCTCTGTTCGGCCTATGCTTTATGAGTCACAACACAGACCTACTAAACGGGTACATAATACCACATTTCAACCGGCCCGTCTTTAGATTTTGTCGGGAGGTGACGGGTATTTTTGGACGCATGCCAAAGAGGTTATCTATATCAAGTTCTAGAGCTCGTGGCAGTGATGTCCGGCACGTAAAGGAACGGGGACTGTGTGGGCCCACTTTGGGACGCTGGACCTCAAGAGCAAGACATGCACAGTTTAACAGACGGGTGAGTAGTTTTTGAGACTCGAGTGGAGGCGTCTCGTTTGTCTGAGGAGGAAATCTCAAAGCTTGCACTGAATTTCAGGGGCGGCTCGTCCATAGAGCACGGTCGTGCACTGCCGCCCAAAGTTTCCGTACAAGTTCCTCGCCAGAGCCTATTCGTTTAATACAACATTTACAACTCTACAACATCTACTATACCATATCAAGTTCTTGTGCTTCACCCAAGTAAAAAAAAATAGCATGTTCAGTGATGTAATCTATCTCGGAAAATGCTCTATGGGCCGACCCAAACAACGATGACGTTTTGACCGAGTTTCTAAGTTCATAAATATTTATAAAGCGGCACAATCCCGATGTGCACCAGTCGAACAAAGCCCATAGAGGCAGTCTAAAATAACGCAATCTCAAACCAGTTCACGACAGCCTACACAGTTCAATCCACCGGAGTGCTCACAGCGATTTGCGATTGGTCCATTGTCTTGCCATTTATATCTCTAGCCCCACCTCTGTGACCCTGAACTTGAGCGAGGTCAACATGACGTAATTAGGTCACTGTGTTAGAAGTTGGAATGATGTAGTGGTGAAAGTTTTATTACTCGAGTGTGTATTCAAATGCAGGATGAATGAAGTTGACTGCAAATAAAATCAGTTCACCAAACAAAGTAACAAGAAAAGAGTGAAAGAAATCGGTCCTCACCAACCCAAAGATATCAAAATAACACTTCCAACAAAAAGTGGAGTGGTTTATAGTCAGCGTTAGGTTAATACTCATTGTAGGCCTGCTGTTTCTCCTGTCTGCTTTTTGGAACTGAGGACCCCAAGTAATAGTCTAAGACAGGTTTCACTGATCTTGTCTAAGTGAAACAACGCATTAAAGTCGTGAGTCATCAAGAGCGCACATAAACCATGCCGTTAAGTATAATACTTTCGGACAAGTAAACATAGCAGCACAGCTTGTCGTTGGTCATCGCATTGCAACGTTTCACAATAACGAACAGGCACGTATTGTGTAAGGTTATCGAGTGTATTTTGTTCTGTGAAACTCACGAACTCGCCCTTCGCGGTCATGAAAAGGGTAATCTGCCTGGGAACAGAGGCATTTTTCGGGAACGCTATGCGGGCTCTTTGACATATTTTGCCCACTCTACAAAATGCATCGACGTTCTCAGACGCGTTTGTCACCGGAATATTCCATGGCCGTCTGTAACAAAGTGGAATTTACAGTACAGTCTCAACAAATAAGCACAGTCTTCATTTGGAAAGGAGAGATCGAGCTTTGTCTTGCAGAAATTCAGTCTATGCAGTGGGGGGATAATTCCATCCACGATGGTATCCTGAAGGTATTATAGAGCGAAACATTTCTCTTCTATTTGCACTTTTTCAACAAAGTGTTCGCGCACATGGATGCTGTTTATGGGATCCTCTAACACAAAAGTACAACGCCCTTAGCAACCTAACAAGCTCTAGAAACGTTTAAAGTAGCCGTCGATGAAATTAGAAACAGTATACGTGTTTTATCAACAAAACAGATCACGGAAAACACGCTTCCAAGAGGCACAGACATAACAACACCAAAGTAGGCCTGTGACATAATAGTTTCTCAAATTGTTGACAGTTTCTTGAAGCAAAATAAATTCAACGCATTATCAATCTTCGAGTCCTCCAAATTCCAGGACTACCAAAAGTCGTTTCCAGCAGTTCTTTTAAGATCCTTTACAGTAATATTACAGTTTTGCACAAAATCAAGTTACAAACAGAATTATAAGTATTACATTGCAATGAAATATTTAAGTCTGCTCAAGGTCGTACAATCCCGGGCTTTTATTCATTTCTGAAGAACTACAAACTCGACACTACATAATAGAGAAGTAGGCAAAATCATAGAAATCGCACTGACGTTTATGTCGATCCACAAGGACATCATTGACAGCTTGCCCAACTTCGTCAACAGAATAATGGACATTTTTGCAGCAGCAAAAGAACAAAAGGAAAACTTCTTCTTTCTCAAAACAGGTAGGATAAAGAAAACATCTCATTCATCATGCCCTTGACTATCTTCAACCTGCTTTAACCTAAATTGTGCACGCCCACTTTTAAGACCCACGAGAGGCCCCTGCACTGATACATGGGTGCAGGGTGCTTTTAATACACTACAGCTCGTGGGGAGCTGGGTGGGGGCTCAGATTGTTCATGCAAATAGGCGCACACCGGCCATGCCGATGAGGGCAAGAAGGCACCCATGTCTGACACGTGTTACGTCACTGCTGCGAGTTCTAATATTAATATAACCTCTCTGACACATCCAATCGGGGGTTTCGATAAAGCCAGGACTCGACATTCGATTTCGACTAATTCACATCGGGTGTGCACTGAGGCGACACAAAGGTTGTAAGTCAAGAGTTGTAGCACGAAGACTTAACTTTGTAATATCTCGCGAACTTTTGTGTTATCTCGTGATTATGGGTGATTGGTGGGTGCTCTGGTGTAGTGTTCTCCTTTTCCCCCTATAAAACATTCTATCGTCCTTATTTCTCCTCCTTCTCTTTTATGTTTGTTAACGTGCAAACACAGTGGATTCGCCGCCCCCACCTTTGGGGGGGGGGGGGGGGGGGTAATCCCTTTTTTCGCCAATGCTGTTTTTAATCAACAACAAATGCGTTCGGCGCCACAGCGGGTTCACCTTTCGTCCCTTTCCCTTTCGCTTTACTCCCCCATACATAAAAGCGAAACTAACAAACTGTGCTGTTCCATTAACAATTGTAACCATGTTTATGAGATTCCAGCCTTCCGCAGCACTGCAACAGAGAACTGACAGCAGAAAGGGGCCCTGTAAGCCATTGAGGTTAAAACATGCGACTACAATGAGGGCGTAAACCGGTCTACGGTTGGCTGAAGCTTTGATCCATGAATACATTAAATAGGCTTACGGTACTCTGGGAATTCCCGGTTTCGGTCTCACGCCTTTGACCGTCTTCTAACTTCTCACATCGGGTTTGGAGCGCTCATAAAGGAAGAAGACGACGAAGGAGGAGGAGGAGGAGAAGGAGGAGGAGGGAAACAAGAAAAATATGAAAAAAATAGAAGGAGAAGAGGAAGGAGAAGAAGAAGAATTTATTAGTAATACATGTTTCAAAATGGAAGCTTTTTCGATTGTTACCCTACCTTGGGAGAGTGAGAGAGGGAGAAAGAGAGAGAGAGAGAGAGAGAGAGAGAGAGAGAGAGAGAGAGAGAGAGAGGGGGGGGAGATAAAGGAAGAGATAGAGGGGCAGAAAGCACTACGGAGGAAGGGTGGTGAGAGTACCAGGGAGTGAGAGAGATAAGTTGAGAGATATATATATATGCAGAGACCTAGCGATGTTTACATGAGAGCGGGAAGTCCAAGAGTACCATAGGCCTGCTTAATGTATTCATGGGTCAAAGGTTCATCCAATCGTAGCCCGGTTTGCACGTCTGTGTGGTTGCATGTAGGTTAAAGGTTTCTCTATTTTAAATTCCAGGTCTTCGGGTACAATCGCGGCGGGGTTGTAGTGTGCACTGAAACTACCAGAATACACTCCGACCCGATGACCCGACCCGATGACCCGACCCGATGACCCGACCCGACCCGATCCGATCCGCATTCACTAGTGCCCCCCCCCCCTATTCCTCTCTTGTAACACTTCTAATCTTCGACATTTATTATTATGCTCCTGCATTGTTACAAGTGGGGTAAAACTTGTACTAAAACTATTACGTGATTGTTATTTTAATATCTCGTGATCTTTGTAAAATCTCGTGAACTTTGTACTAATTATACCTCGTGATCTTTGTAAAATCTCGTGAACTTTGTAATAATTATACCTCGTGATCTTTGTAACATCTCGTGAACGTTGCAGACTTGATGATTTCTTGAGGGCATGAGGCAAGCAGTGAAAAAAATAATTTAAAGAGTGAAAATGGGAGGGCAATGTTGGAGAACTACAGGAAATCAGAATGCAGTAAAGAAAGTAATAAAACAACATACAAGCGAAATAGAACAAAAAAACTAAACTATTATTAACCCTTAAAGTTTGTGCATTGCCTTTTAAAACGTTTTTTTAATGTGGTTTTTCGCTCCATTCATTATGATCACCAAGAAGGCGAACTTCAATCTGACCTGTCAAAGACAACCTGGGATATCAGTGAAACAACATTCCAACAAAGAGACCAAGATCCTCGATTTTAAGCAAATAAAAAAAGAAAAAAAAAGAATAAGACCTCACACGGGAATCAAACTCAGATTTTCTGCGTCTGACGGTGACACGCTCAATCCCTGCAATACAAATGTTCACCCCTCTTAAGAATCGAACTAGGGTCTCCTCTGTGTGACAGCAAAGTGCCTTACCGCTACACCACAGTGACAGACCCCGGTAAGCCGTTCGTTAAAGCTCATGTCTAAAGTACCCGTCACAAGGATCATCGTGAAAGCAAAGAGACAGGACATCGTGCCGAGATGAAAAATCTATATGTCGGAAAAACCAAAGAGATTATAATATATTATACGAGCTCACAACAATGACGTGTCAGACATGGGAGCCTTTTTACCCTCATAGGCATAGGCGGTGTCCCCCAATTTACATAAACAATCTGAGCCCCCGCCCCGCTCCCCACGAGAATTAGTAAATTAAACACAACCCTACCCCCATATTTCTATTGAAATGCACATGTCTCGCCCTTGCGGTTCAGCGTCCCGAAGTGGGCACTCGCAGCCCCCATTCGTTTACGTGGTGGACATCACTGCCACTAACTCTTGAACTAAATATATAACATCTTTGCGTGGGGGACATCAATGCCACGAACTCTAGTACTAAATATAGAACATCATCTTTGGGAAAAACCAAAAGATTTTGGATTTTGGAATCACTTCCGAGACCATGTACAAACAAGCACAGGGAACTCTCGTGGTCCAGAGGTTACGGTGCTCGCCTCTCATTCAATAGGCCCAGCATTCGAAACCTGACACCTTCGGAAAATTGTCTTCGATAAAATGTTCTCCTTTTACCCCCATTTCTGCTTTCTAACATTGTTCTGTCGTCCGCATTCGTCTCCACGTTCTGCCCCCACCCCCTTGCTCCTTCTCTATACGCTGGCTCTTTCTGCAGCCTTTCCACCGCAACGAGTACTCCTTGGCTCCTTCGCACAGCTGTCTTGGAGCAGCACCCCTGATCCTAGGGTAGGTAAGATCTAACAACTAACCTTCCTTCTCGGATAAGGGCCAAAAATATCGGAAGTCCAGTGTAGAAGCTACGCAGGTTTAAGATCCTCGGTTGTCAAAAATTGATCGAATAGGCTCAGGCCATCATCCACGCAAAATTCAATATTAATTCCTACCAAACTAAAAAGGTTTCAAGTGTCCCTCGCTCTTATATGAGTTGCTAGGGCCGTAAAACATTTACCCAAACAAAAACAAATAACCAAAAACAAACACAAGTTTCCCTACCGACTGGCCGAACAACGGCTGGCTTTGAAGTGAGTGGACAGTTGACCATATCCTCATATCGTAATGACACAAAGGGTTAATGTGAGGTACCGTCAACCCCCAGTGTCCTTGTATCATGTGTCTGGGTTTTTCCCCGGGGGGGGGGGGGTTATTAGTGGAGGTTGGGGTAATATAGGAGGGGGGGGGGGGGGAGTTGTGCTTTTACAGGAATTATGAGAGACTCCTTCTGCACGTGAAATTCGGTTTTCTAACCAGGTGATCTTTTTATTCTACGCACCTCATGTACCCTCTGTTTCATTAAGTATTAAGTCCCTTTCCCTGCGAGCTCCACAGAGCTCAACAAAGTATTTCCCGAACACGTCGAGGTATAAGGGGCTTCTAAAAAGGGACTAAATGCCTAAAAATGTTTGTTCCAAGAAGTTTGCATGTTTGTGTGTATGCGTGTGTATGTGTGCGTGTGTGTATGTGTCCGTGTCCTATCGTGGAAAGGGGAGCTGTATGGTTGGCAGGTCCAGGAAAAGTATTTAAGCCCCGAGGAACTGGGAGACAGAACACAAGACGGTCCAGTGAACACAATGGTGAGTCTGTCAGTACATTGTGGTGTTGTGTGACAATGAGCAAAACTTGAGGACGTACAGCTTGCTGTGGGTTGTTTCTTGCTGCTGGTTATTGTTGTGTGTGTGTGAGAGAGGGTGGGGTTTGGGAGTGGGGCTCAAGATTACCCAAGTTACGATGAACTTATTATATGTCTATGTCTTATCAAAGATACCCTTGTCTCAAACTCAAAAGGCGAATATTTGCTAGATGTGTGATAGAAATACTTTACTGTTTTATATACTTTAATTTTAAAAAGGGAACCGCACAAACTGGACCCGTATTTTGTTTCCAACAGTACTTGTCAAAAAGTCCATAATTATTGGAATCTGCTCATTTATAATTATTGCCATGTAAGTGAATGTAATAGCCTATTGTGCAGTAGATCTATTATCTGGGCACTTTATTTTCATTTCAAGGACTTTGTAAATTTTAGTATCGTATCCACCTAGTGTTGGCAACAATTTGAAAAATAACTTGTCTATCAGCTCCAAGCAATACCTTTCCCATGAATTATTCCTATTATTTCTCATTGTTTCAGACGTTGCAAGCTTTATCTCTCTGCATTCTGCTTGGGATTGCTCTGGTGGTCTGTCAAGCAGGTAAGTTAAAGTACAGGAGGCTTGTAGGACTTCATATTTCTCCCCAACTGAGTTCTGTACTTCAGAACCTCGCAACATAAATTAAAATCCATAATCTTATCCCCCCCCCCCCAACCCTCGCCCTTATTACACGTGTACTGTGTCAAGAATGCACGGAAACTTATACTCAGTCATCCTGCTTTATATATTGTATAACGTACTCCTGTCACAGTGGTTTTAACTTTAGAAAAATTAGGTTTAAGCTTTCAAGTGCTCCGTGCCCTGATGTTTTATGGCAATGTTTTTATATATTCTCTTAGGGTGCCTCTGAGAAAATTGCAAATTAAAAAGTTAACTTTTAAAAACTCTTCGAAAATATGGCCCCGTTTTATTCTCGCCCTTGTTGCTTCCATGTGCGTCCCAAGGATGTGCACGAAACCACCGTGTCAGTAACGGGCACGGGGGTTCTGATGAGAAAAACAAGCTCGTCTGCTACTACACCAACTGGGCCCAGTACCGGCCGGGCAAAGGCGCGTTCTTCCCCGAGGACATAGACGCGGACTTGTGCACTCACATTCACTACGGCTTTGCCATTATTGTGGACGGTCTTCTGGCTCCCTTCGAGTGGAACGATGACGACACGCCGTGGTCAGAGGGCATGTGAGTCGTCCATTATATGTGGGAGGGGATGTGTGAGTCGAGTTGTCCATTATATGTGGGAGGGGATGTGTGGGTCGGTTGTCCTTTGTACGTGATGGGAGGGGATGTGTGGGTTGGTTGTATTTTGTATTGATTTCAGAATTTTAGAGACCTGGATTTTTCTGCCGTTAAGCTTTACTTTCTTATCTGTACTTCTGGGATCGTCTTCACCACTCGGCCGTTTTATGTTCTATCCTGAGTTTGTGTCGTAGGAACTCGGATTAAAAGAATTTTTTGTATTGATTTCTGGGATGGTTAGTCAAAAGTGTGCTTCCATTTCCATGTATTCCCTATGCTTTTGAGTATATTGTTTAACTTTGTTCAGCTATATTACTAATTTCCAGATACACTCATGTGAATAAATGTGAGGTAGCGTGGTTAAAGCTGGTCATCATCAAAATAATGAAATCGAAGAAATGTATTTTCCCAAGTTTGGCAAATTTCTAAAGAAATTTTGTTTTTGGGCTAATCACCTTATGTTCAAATGAAAACACATTGCCAAATAAACTTTACTGAAAATATTGTTTATAGTAGGCACAAGAATTAAATAAGTCAAGCAATTGAAGTTGCCAAACCTGGCTGCCATTTTCTCATCAATTTAATCCTTTTCTTCAATCGAAAATACCTCATACTTCAATTCACCCTGGGGATATTTTTTTCACTAAAAGCAAGGAAAATGAACGAACTTTCAGAAGATATCAATAACTCTACATACTCAAATTGACGAGCTCTTGATTCCACCACGTTGGGACACTTATTAATTTTCGGGTACACTCGTTAACTTCAGGTACACTCGTGTGAACAAACTGAAGCAGAAAAACCCTGCTCTGAAGACCATGCTGTCTGTAGGAGGCTGGAACATGGGAACCAAAAACTGGACTCTGATGGTGCAAGATACATCATCGAGACAGAAATTCATTCAGGTGAGAACCAGTGGGGCTTATCGGTTTATAGGAGGATTGAAGACGTGTATAAAAGATTTCCATCTCCCTTCTCCATTGCAGCTTGTCTAATGTCTTCCAAAAACGTCTTCTCAATTCACGAGAACACCGGTCGTATTCTAGACTTCCTACGTTACTTTCACGTGACCCTGGACTCTAATATACCCAATGTTGTTTGTGTTGAGCAATGTCTGGACTTCAGCAAATGCTAGACGGGGACATTTAAGTTCACATATTCCCAAACAGTTCGGGGCTCCATTTAGATCCTCCAGATAGAACTTTTCTAGCCCAGGAAGGCCAACTAAGACAAATTTAGAGAGCGGTAGATGACGGCTCTGCCTCTTGTCAACGAGAGGACGTAAAACGATTGGGTTAAATCCACAGAGCTATAGTACGAGATGCTGTCCTGTTAAAAATCTAGATGCTTGGTGAGTTGTTGATCTACTCGTATGCTACACCATTTTATGATATATCGGATATAAACTTGACACCACAAATATTGTCGTTGAAATTCTCAGGAACACAATTCTAGCAAGTTCTTCGTAATAGAACGCTTTGAAGGTCAGTTCTACTTGTTCCTTTCAGAACGCCATCCCCTTTCTGCGGCAAAGGAACTTCGATGGTCTGGATCTGGACTGGGAGTACCCAGGCTCAAGAGGCAGCCCTCCAGAGGATAAGTTCAAGTTCACCTATCTGGTTCAGGTTGGTCGTGCTATTTTTTTTTCTCCATTCCTGCACTTTCCGACCATTTTCATGCCGATGTGCTTCTCTTTACACGAATTCAAAATATACTCCATAACATTAAATTGATTTCCCTGTAGGTTGGGAGGTAATGTACACACGCCACAAGTAGTAGGAACATGAATCCTGATCTCCAATAGTGACTTTACAACCAATTGCTAGACCGGCCGAAAGTAACAAATCTGGTTTTGGAACTTACAATTGTCTGTAGTACCGCAAGAAAAAATATTGTGCCTTCTGTGTTAGTGGGGTGGAAAAATATACTCAATAAACTATCATAAATAAACTATCATAAATTAATCAAACTGGTTTTTCCAGGAGCTTCTCATCGCCTTCGACAATGAGCCCAGGCCATCAGGCACACCTCGCCTTCTCCTGTCTGCTGCTGTGGCTGCTGGCAAGGACACTATTGACGCCGGATACCAAGTGGCCAGCATTTCAAAGTGAGATCTTTACTTTTCTTTAAAGTCTTGTGTTTTCAAGGGAAATGTGTGCTTGGAGAATTGTTATGCTGCATTCTACATGAAATGTGGTATGCCGTAGCAACGTAATTAAATTAAAACGATTCTTTTCTTACACGATACTTATTTCATTTTTAACTATAAAGCTAAGCTTTGCACGTTTAAAACAGCAACTGCATCAAGTCCACACAATAGCAAATTTCTTACCGCAATAGCAAATTTCTTACCGCAATAGCAAATTTCTTACCGCAATAGCAAATTTCTTGGTAAAATAGCAAATTTCTTAGCACTTGGAAATGTGTTTTTAAATGGACATAACAGAGGTTAAGCGAAAAAAAAATTCCATTAAAATTTCCAACTGGCGTAAAATGCCTTTCTCCGATTTCGTATTTTGACGAGCGTCTGATTTCCTTACGCTGCCTCGCATGTTATATTGCTGGTTCAAATTCTTTTTGTTATATGTAATTCAACTATTGGCTTCTTGTCGTCTAATGCAACGTTGTCCAGGGAACTGGACTACATCGTTCTAATGACCTACGACTTCTTCGGTGCCTGGGACCCTGTGACGGGGCACAATAGTCCTCTCTACAAGGCTGACGATTCAACCTCGGAACTTAACCAGTACTTTAACGTGGTAAGTAGAATTCTTTGACAAAGCACTGAACCTAGCCATATCTTTCTTATTTTATGATGAAACTTGAAAAGACACGTACGTTGTTATTTTAAAATGTTTTAATGCTTATAATATTGGATTTCCAGTGTCTCTATCTTTGTTAGTAACAGACGGTTCGGGCGTTGTATCTAAACATTTCATATACTTGCATGACGTGTATAGAGACCTTAGAAACGTCTACTGGATTTTTTCCTGTATCTTAATAACGGCCTCTGAAGTGTACACTTTGGCGCTTCGCTGTTGTGTAGGAGAGGTCGTTTCTTTTCCTCCCCCACTGGGTCTGAAAGAAATATATGCATATATTGTTGTTGGGAGTATAGGTATACACCGAAATTCATATTGTAAATGCGCTTGTAAATGTCTTTACCATAATTACAAAGATTCCTATAAACGTCTGTCCGCCCTTTTAACATAGTAATACATTTGAGGCTCTGATAAAACTTGTTGGCACTTGCATGACCAAAATTGAGTCGATAGTGCCGTAAAACGTCTACTCAATCAAATCAACCAAGGCCCTGGGTTTGCTCTGACGGGCAACGATCAAATATCCTTATCCTATAGATCTAAATTGTCTATTGGTATGAATCGCCTACATTAGGAAAGTGTATTGCATGTATGTGTGTGCAGGACTATGCATCCCACTACTGGGTGGATGAGGGCTGCCCCAAAGACAAACTGTACATTGGACTGGCCACGTACGGACGGTCGTTCACCCTGAGAGACGAGAGCGACTCTGGCCGTGGAGCTCCGGCCTCCGGTGCCGGTATTGCTGGCACGTACACCCGGGAGGCTGGCTTCTTGTCTTATTACGAGGTGACCAAATCTCTCACTTTTCACCTTTTTCGAATTTTCCCATCCCACGTTGCTGTTGAGCGTCGAGGCAAGATGCTTCCCGCAGTCTTGGTCTGTTCCTTCGTCGCGCCTTTTTGTCTCAATCTACCCTGTGCAGTTGTGACGGTATGAAATATTCTAAATTACAAGTTGATCCTTAGTCTCTACAAATTGATTCATCTTGGAATTCTCGTCCACAACATCCGTGTGAAATGTATCCCATTTTATCTTGCTTTTTTTGCCTGTGTCCTTGTAAAATCTCTTCATCGTGCTTTCTCGTCTCCAACTTTCGGTCCAAGGCTTTCACCATGTTTACAAAGATTTCTATTTGTCTGTTCGTCCTTTTAACACGGTACTAGATTTGTAAAACGTTTTGGCACTTACGTTATCAAAACCGACGTGATAGTCCCGTAAAACATACTCCAATCAATCATTATCAAAACCTGTGGGCTACACACAGGGGCCGTGCTGACTGAATGGTACATTCCTCTCTACAGGTGGTAGGTTGGGACTGGTGTGGTTTCCTCACTCTTTCCTTCCAAACGTCTATTGTCCTGAACGCTTTTTTTTTTTGTTACTCTCTTGTTACATATAATTTTCGCCGTTTTCATAACCTTGTCTAGCAAGGCCCGTAAAGCTCCTATTTTAAAAAAAATTCCCGTCATTTTCAGGTGTGCGAAATGATCATTGCCGGTGCCAGGATGGAGTTTCTGGAAGATCAGAGAGTTCCTTACCTGGTGCTGGGGAACCAGTGGGTGGGCTACGAGAACAAAACAAGTATTGGCGAAAAGGTGAGGCCACGCACGCACACACTTCGTTAAGGTGGTCTTATGTTAGAAAGGTTATTTAGACGTTCTATCTATGCAAAATGTAGCAATTGAGTTTGTGGGTGCCCGTGTTGTTCGCTCGTTTCCTATCGGCGGGTCGTACTCTCCTGGACTTCCTCCCTTGTAACAACTGTTCTTCGGCACGTATGCATGACCTGATTAGAGTTGCAAGTGCTAAACTTTTCCTTTACATATAACATACCTTGTCAATACCACTCGTCGGATATATTGCATGTTAAAGTTGACTTCTGTTGGTCGAAAAGGTGGTTTGATCTGCAGTGTTAATGATGAAGCGAAAGTTTTGATAGCTGAGCTAATAAATGAGAATTGAGAGCCTTAATTAAGAAACTTTAAAATACAAGACTCCGGGTTTATAAAATCTCAAAGTTGATAGAAATCAGTCAACATGTCCGTAGACTTATTAAAATGATCATTTCAAATGTCCCTTTTATACCGTTATAAGCTTTGAATGTTACTGAAGTAGGATGGGTAATGTTTAATAAGTGTTCTGCAGTGAATTTATTTTATAATATACACGTGAGATGAACACGTCAGTCCGCGGAATGATCCATTTTCGTGATTGCTCCTTCCATGTTTTTTCTGGGATTTTTTTGGGGGGTTCACATCTTTTCTTGGATGAACCCGATATCAATTTTTCCTACCCAACTTTCTGACTGGCTTTTGTCCTCGCCACTAAAGGCTGAATCCCGGAGGGGGGGGGGGATATGAACGGACGGAGCCTTAAGAATGTCTAGCTAGAATCTAGTAACCAGCAAAGAGCTACGGCCTCTTATATTTGTTTTCCATTTTCTTCCCCAGATCTCGTACATTCAAGACAATGATTTTGCTGGCGGCATGGTATGGGATTACGACTTGGATGATTTCGATGGAGAATTTTGCGGCAAAGGACGATACCCGCTCATCAGTTTGATTAGCCAGTCTTTGTTGTAATTGTAACACGTTACTGTTACAAGTATTCCGATTTCTTTCCACAAATAAAACTATTGCACAAATGATGGCGATGACTTCTTGTTCCATCTTGCCAAATATTTTTTGGCCGTAAGTTTAGCTCTGATAAACAATATCAGGCATTGTTTGTAGAAATGCTTAAAACGCCCTTTTCACGATAGCAAAGTGGATCAAGGAAGCTGGCTGTTGGCCTTGCCTTTGAGGCCCAAGTAAAAAAGATAATCAAAGGAGATGCCTACTCGATAAGAATCGTCACTTCCCCAATAACTGCTCCTGCACTTCACTCCTTCCCTCATCGGCACCCTACTCGCTCCTTGCTGGATCCACCAAAATGTAGGTATAAGTTCTTTAGTGCAATATCAAAGTACCTCCCGTGGCAGTACGATCGAGCTTCTTGAAATGGCCCTAAATATATTAGATTAAATCAACCAAGTTTATTGTCCTAATCCTCTCTCTTTCTCTCTCTTTCTCTCTCTTTCTCTCTCTTTCTCTCTCTTTCTCTCTCTCTTTCTCTCTCTCTTTCTCTCTCTCTTTCTCTCTCTCTTTCTCTCTCTCTTT